TTTCCCCTCCTTGGGCTCTCCTCTCTTTTCCCCCGTCCCTGCCCGTGGTCCATCAGGACAGATGTTTTGCCCACCATCCCGTGGGTACCGGTGGGCCTTCAGCTGACCTGAGTCCGAAAATCCACTCCCAACCCCAGTATCCGGAAAGCCGTTTCTCGTCCTACAATCCTTCTCTCCCTCCCAGGAGAATGACGTGCTAGCATCCTTCTCTCCCTCCCTGGTCTACTTCCCAGGTACAGAGGGAGCAGGTCAGACCGGGTCCTGATGTCACATTCCCTCCTCCTTCGGCCTTTGCCCAGTCTGCACCTCCTGGACATCCGTCCTTCACTCCCTCCTCCCTCCTCCATGCTATTAAGCACCTCAGCCTCGTTTCCCCTGTATCACCTCCCCTCTTGGTGCCACCCTCCCAAGGGTGACTGAGAGCCCAGTTTGCCTGGCACTGTCTGAGTTTAGAACTGAAAGCCCCCATTCCCGGCAGCCCCCTGTTCCACGGAAGCCAGGATGGTCCCCTGCACTGTCCCTTCCTTGAGGACACTAGGGTCAATCCACATTCTGTCCCTTCCAGTCCCTACCAGCACCGTGGCCCTCATCAGAGTCCATTCACTTTTCCACCGCCCTCATATGGGGTCATGGGAGCAGGGTGAACCCGTTAGGGCCGCAGTGCCTGCTGGGAGGGGCACTCAGTAGGTACCCAATAAAGACCCTCTGAACGAATGAATCCTGGAATATTCACTTTCACCTCCTGTTGGATTTAAACCTAACCTACCTTGCCCCAAAGGCCCCACAACTAAATCTGTCTGCTTTCAGCTTCCACCCTCCTCCAGGCCTGGACGTCTCCGGGGAGGGCCCCCTCCAGGTGGTGCTGGGTGCAGGGCACCAGTCCAGGGCACCCCCCCCCCCCTCGGCCAGGCTGGGCGGGTCATCTAGCAGGAATCCCCGGAATGCGGCTCAGACTTCCAATGCCAGGCCCCACCTGTTCCGGTCTGCAAATCCCCTCCCCACCTCCGCTGGGCTAATTCCCTTGGTTAGAGAAGGGTCCCGACGAGTGAGAAAGCAGCTCCTGTGACCTGAGCGGCCACATGGAAATCAGGAGACGAAACGAACGGGGTTTTCCAAGGATCTGGAATGGGGGGGGGCGGGGGGGGTATTCTGCACCAGTGGTTTACCGGGTCATTTTTAAGGAATGTAAATGGGGCCGCTAGTGCTCCCCCCTGCACTCCCCTGTCACGTCCAACTGTTTCCATTTGTCCATGTTATTAAAACCCCCCGCAGCTGTTCTTACTGAGCGCCTACTGTGTGCCGTCCCCTCATCTAAGGACGTCAAATACAGCCTTGTGAATTCCCAAACATGGTCGTGAGCTATTCTGATCTTTACAGATGAGGAAAAAAATGGAGGTTCAGGGGGGCCCCTGCCTTGCCCCAGGCCACGCTGCGGGGAAATGACGGGGCTGGGGCTGGACCCCGCTCGTCCCGCCCCCAGAGCCCACCCGGTACAGGGTACCGACCCGCGGGGGCCCTTCCCCTCTGCGGACGCCGCTGCTCGCACAGGTGCCAGTAATCCCAGCACTTTCCAGTCTGTTCCCCTGGCGCTCAGAGTGCTGGCTGCCCCTTTGGGCTGTCCCCGGGGCCTGGTGACTATGAACGCTTCTGTGGGATAAGGTCCAGGAGCCCTGCCGTTGGGGTGCGGCCCTCACCTACGCCCGGAAGCCCATGGGGTGAGAACGAGTGCATAGGGGCCCAGCCCCCCAGCACCCACCTTTCTGGGTTTCCCGGGCTGGCTGCAACGAGGAGGAGCCAGCCGCCTAAAATAGAAAAGCTGACATG